AGGGAAGAAAAATACCAAACCAAGTCCGCAAGCAGTAATCAATGTCCGTAGAACGCCAAGATCAAAAACCAGAAGGAATATGATTGAATTACCATTGGAAAAGCGAAAATAGCAGAGCTAAGCCAAAGAGGAACCACTTCGCACGGCGGAGAAATGGAACTGGGGCTTGGGCGGGCAGAGCATGCGCAGTGTAGGTAATGTTAAACTATGTTTCCTTTGCAGAGCTCTAGAAAGTTCCGAAGGGGATCGACGCTGGCGCTGACTTAACCCTTTATATGTGTATTCACAGAAGACCACGATAAAGAACCACTCCTTAATTATCCCATAAACCTTGGAAATCCTACTGTTGTCACAATTCAAAATTGACTTAGTAATAAATACAAGACACACACAAAAAGCTAGACATGACTTGGGCCAAGTACAGACCTTACAGCAAAACCACAATTGCACTGTAGTGCAAAAAAACACTGTCATGCCATCAGAATTTTGCAAACTAAGTTTACTGTGATCCAGAAAGAAAGGGGGATATCTGACATATGCAAAAGAAGAAATATATGCCTATTCATATATTTCTGTGATTAGTTCATAATTGTTACTTAGTGCCCAAGTACTTGTCTTCAGGGTTGATAATTAGCTAACTCTCCATTCTTTATGGCATAGTCTGTTTGCATTTAACATTAAGATTTAAAGCGGTCCAATATTTCTTACTTGCTTCTGAGCAATGGTGACACAAAAGTTTATGAACAAGTGTGGCTTGATACTAAAAGCAAGATTCTGAAAATGTGACTAACTCAATAAAGTGCAGATTCTCTCCAAAAAACTACTGAAGACTTTCCACAAGCCATGAAGCTAATAGGAAGACAAACATAGCATTGAGCTGGCCCTGTCTTTAACCCAAGTTAAAATCTGACTTTTGGTTTTAAACTGTTTTTTGTCAACTGTCAGTAGACCAGATGGAGATCTTCCGCTATAGAATGGGAGAGAAATACTTACATAAAAACACAAAATCTAAACCCATCTCTACTCGTGCCCATCTCTACTGCTAAATAGTTGCATCTCTACCAACTGCTGAAACACAAGTATGCAACATGCAGTGCAAAAGCCACATGCAGCCCCCTCAGTGGCCCAAAATATAACCATACCAGTTTTAGAACAAAAAGTCTGAATGACTTCCATCAGTGACCCTTTGAGCTGGTCAAGGATCAGTTGTTCTATTTTTAGCTCCCCACACACACAACCTTCAAAATTATTTAAAATTCTTTTTTTTAAAAGAACTGGAAGGAGGCTTTTCAGTAACTCCTACCAATATTTGTAAGAAAAAGTAGATGTGCTTTAGGCACATAAGGAGTAATAATTAGCAGCAATTTACTATGGAATATATTCATATTTGCTCATAAAAGACAAGGTGCCTATGTTTTTAACTTTCACTAATATGCCAGCTAGTATAGTTTCAATTCTTCTTTCTAAATAAAAAAAAACACACACACACACGAACAGGAAAGAAATGGCTTAAAATTTCAGGAAATTTTATCTCTTAAGGATGGGAAAAAAGTAGTTTTTAAACGAGGAAAATTGTAGAGAAAAGCCATGATGAATATAAGTGCTCATACAAAAAGAGTTACAGATTGAGAAGAATACTGAATACAAATGGGAGATGTGGCTTTTTGATTTTTTTAACCAAGTATTTTCATCAGTAAAAAGCAAGGCCTCCAAGAATAGGAAACCATTCTGCCTCTTCATATTTTGTCCTAATGGTACATTTTCCTCCATAATACAGATTATGCATGAGGAGAAGCCAGGTCTGTACATTTCTTCAGAACAACCCAGTTTCTCACGATCTACACAGCCAAACCCTTTGATGATGATGAGGAGGAGGAGGATCTTAGAACTTCTAGGAGAACTAGAAGGGATCATTGAGTCCAGCCCCTGTCAGGGAGGCACAGTGGGGAATCAAACTCCAATCCTCTGGCTCCATGGCCATCTACCTAAATCAATGATCTATCTCTTTGCTGTAGTCTATGAAGCTAGACTGATTTTCAGAAATTCTTTGATGAACTCTAATAGCCTGCAAATATTTGCAATATGATCTTTAGTGCCCTTTCCTTTCCAGAATCCAGCTTGAACAGCAGGAATTTCTTGCTTTGTTGCAACATCTTGAGCTTCACTTTGTTTCATAGGAAACTAAAGCAATAGTCTTATAGTTATGTAGTCCTTGGCATCTTTCTTAGGACCTGGAATTTATATTGTGGGCCACTGTTTTGTTTCTCATATTTGTTGGTATATTCCTGTTAAGATTTTGACAAGTTCCGCCTCTGTAGTTTGAAACAGTTCTACTGATTTCTACCTAACTTTGGTGATTTACTTCTTCCTAGTATTTTCAGAGCAGCGCTCTCTTTGCTTTCTAGAAGTTCGTCATAGGATTTATCTTCAAATGAATCTGTCATCCTCTTACCTCTTCCGTATACGTCTTCAATATACTGTTTCTTTCTTTTCTTTCTTTTTTCCCGGTCAGATAAATGTGTTTCCTTCTTGGTCATTCAGCATTCCTAACCTAGGCTGAAATTTCCCATTTGATTTCTTGGATTTTCTGGAAGAGATCCTGGTTTTGTTTCGGCAGAGAGAATATGGCTTCTCTATCTCCTGCTTCCAATTACGTAGTCTATTTGATATCTATATTGACCATTTGCTGATGCCCACATGTCCAACTATCTGATCAGCTGCTTGAAGCATGTATATGTAATAAACAGATTGATGGCTTTGCAGAACTTGTACAGCTCATTCTCCTGCTTCATTTCTGTCCTCTAAGCCAAATTTTCCAACATTTGGTTCTGCTTGCTTCCCTACTTTTGCTTTCCAGTAGCCTGTGAGTATACGTAAGCATGTCTCATTTTTGTTTGTGATCAATTTCCTCTTAGCTGATTGCATAAAAGCTCTCAATTTCACCTTCTTCAGCATTTGTTTCTGGAGCACAGACTTGGATGGTGGTTAACTTGATAGGGTTTTTCACAGAAAAACCTATTAATTGACCAGACTTTGCATTATAGCCTGTGCTAAATCTTGCCCCAGTATTAGAGCTTCCCTTTCACTTCTGTGCACGCGAGCCTCTGGACACAATGGTTTGTTTTCCTATTGGCAAAGGTGTCAGATAAGGGTGCATTTTATCCCCTTATCGGTTCAATTTGTAGGCAATCTGGGACATTTTTCTAGTTTCAAGTTAATTCCAAATTAGAATTATGGGTATCCCATGCAGGAATACCAGTGTGGTACAGTGAGTCAAATACAGTAGTAGGATCCAGAGCAAACCTGTGCTCAGCCATGAAGTTCGCTAAGTGACACTGGACCAGTTGTTCTCTGCCTCTCAACTCAGAAGGTAAATGTCATGATAATATGGTGAAAAGAAGAACGATCTTCAAAAGCATCATGGCAGGGGGATAATAGATTGGAGGAGGGGGATTCTTAGTTATTGTACTGGGCCACTTTTGTTAAATTATTTAACCCACAATTATTTGACCTTTCTAGTGAGTATACTAAAAATATATATTACAAGCTCACAATAATATAGGACTCCTGTATCCATGGGGCAAGTGTCTGTGGTTTCACTTATCTGTTGTCTGAAAATATTTTAAATGTTTATAAAAATACTGTACCCAGAAATATATATTTCCACAATGCAGTTGCTAGAACTGGCCACTACAAGGAGCCAGAGACCATACTATGTATATAGTTTGCTATTATCTGTGGTTTTCAGCATCTGCAGCGGATACAGGGGTCCTATTGTATAACTTATTCTGTGTACACAAAGGTGTTAAGACTGCTGGGAAAATTGAAAACCTGAGCATACTTCCCATATTCCAGTTAAGCACATCCTTTGCACTAGGAGAAGTGACATGTCAGTGGAAGTCAGAGCTGAACCGAGTCCTAGCTGTCTTTTTATACAAAGGCAGCTCAATTTCTTAAGTCAAAAACATGGACTTAAAGTTGAATATTTCACTCAAAGCATCAAATGATTAAGCAACCAGAATATTTCATACTGTGCTCTATTAATTTGCACTGTATATAAAAATGAAATTTATTAACCAAGTTGCTCAATCAAACTGTGACATCAATTAATTGGCTATTTGTATTTAGATAAGAAAAGCTGAAATACTCTTGCATAGATATGTAAATAGTTTAACTCTCAGAGGCAAACTCTTGCAAGTTATGAAAGCAAGGGTACTTGATTTTAAACAACTACAAAATCTTAGATATTTTATTTTTAAGGTAAAACATCAGAAATTCTGAAGTATAGTTGCTCCAGCCTTAAACAGGCCAGAAAGAAGGAAAAAGCCCAAAGTGCCTTGTGAAATCTGTATCTGAGCAGCAAACCACAGGAAAGCTGCATTAAGATTCCCTATATGAGACCACATGGCAAACATGTTACAATAGCCAGGTTATCTGTTTGTCCCATAAATTTGCCCTGAGTATGAGCAAGGTCCTTACCCCTTGAAAAAAATGACAGAATTACACTCCTAGAAGCAAAAACATGCTGCTTTTATATATGTTTATAACTCCATAGCTCTTAAAGCATTACACAGGTTACACATTGTTCCCCTCCCCCTAGAGCTACTTACTCAATTTACTGACCTCATAAGGATGGAAGGTTGAGTCAACCTTGAGCTAGCTACCTGAGATTGAATCCGGGTCATGAACAGTTTTGGCTGCAGTACTGCAATTTAAACACTGCACCACCAACCACCCTTTTCCCATTTGTTACTTTGTTTCCGCCTAGCCATCTGCTCCATTAAATGCTTCCCTAACTTATTTAATCAATTATGAATCAAGATCATACTCCTCATAAATCTGCAAAATAGCAAATATGCTGACTGCTCTAAGATTAAGACCTTATCTCTTAGTAGCATACTTGGATCCACAAAACTTACACAAATGAGATCACATGAGAAGGCACACTGAGATTGTATCACACGAGCCAGAAGATAGATTCACTAAAAGTATGTACTTACATCTGGATATTCTTTTACAGGCACATATAGTTTCTCTTGTAACTGTACAATAGGTCCCACAGCATCAGGTAACTCTGCACTTCTCTTCTCCGTACTACCATTTAATGTGTCGTTATACATGTCTTTCCGTACTCTGCTAATTTCTGTGGGGGGAAAAATGTACACTGTGTATTATAGTAAATATAAAACATTAAAGTCTACAACAATGATTATTTTCTGTGACACTGCATGTCTTTTTTCAAACATGAAATTAGAAATTTAATCCATATGAGGTGTGCTTTTTGAACCAACTATAGATAACTACACTTCAACAATATTTTCTTCACATTTAAAAATGCATATGCATTGGTATAAATACATATGCATTGATATAAATACATCCTTGCATGGAAAATATAAATATTGTTAATTACTCTTTGTTATAAGAAGATACAACTACAACTAAATGGAATATTTTTCATGCAGTTCAAAAAGTCCATTATAGAACATTCAAAACATTGAAAGCAACTGAACTGCTAGTTTCTTTGATTATATTCCCAACATTGCATAACTAGTATTATAGTGCTTAAGGTTTATGATATCCTTCCTTAAAAGACTTTAAGGAAGACTTTGAATGGGAAGACATTCAATTTTCATAACAGGTGTAAGAGAAAACTGTGAAGTCTGATGCTATTTTTAAGAATTTGTTTTTAGAAAGGATTCAAAGCAGTTTAAGTACAATAGGAACTAAAGCTGCAAATATAATTTCTCTAAATCAGGGGCGGGCAAAGCCCATCACTCTAATATTTGATGAACTGGATTATACATGTTCCTCGCTTATGGGGATACAGGCTAAATCTTTTCATATCCTTGCTCTAAGTCAGGGGTTTCCAGACTTTTCAGTATGAGAGCCACATCATATATTTTACATTTTTGAGTGCCGAAGAAGGGAAAGGGGACCCAAGTGATTATAAGCATGTCTCGTTTTTGTTTGTGATCCATTTCCTCTTAGCTGATTGCATAAAAGCTCTCAATTTCACCTTCTTCAGTATCTGTAGCTGGAGCACAGACTTGGATAGTGGTTAACTTGATAGGGTTCTTAACAGAGCTTGATTTATATTAATTGACCAGACTTTGCATTATAGCCTGTGCTAAATCTTGCTTAGTATTAGAGCTACTTCATTTCTCCTCATTTTTTCATTTCCAGAAGAGAACATTCTGTAGTTATCTGACTGAAAATATCCCATTCCAGTCCACTTTAGTTCACTAACATCAAGCACTGCAATGTTTATGCATCCATTTCTCAGTTTCTAGTTTCCCTTGATTCACATTTCTCACATTCCATGTTACATTTATGTGTTGTGCAATACTGGACTTCCCTTTCATTTCTGTGCACGCAAGCCTCTGGACATAATGGTTTGGTTTCCTATTGGCAAAGGTGCCAAACAAGGGTGCATTTTATCCCCTTATCTGTTCAATTTGTAGGCAATCTGGGACTTTTTTCCTAGTTTCAAGTCAATTCCAAACTAGAATTATGGGTATCTCATGCAGGAATGCCAGTGTGGTACAATGAGTCAAATAGTAGGATCCAGAGTAAACCTGTGCTCAGCCATGAAGTTCACTTGGGTCCCCGTTCCATTCCCTCCTCTTCCTAGGCCTAGGAAGGCAAGGTGGGCCAGATGTGGCCCCTTCTCTAAGTAATGGCTACCATAAATTTTACTTACAAATAGCCTCAATATGGGCCATATAGGATCTATTTAAAACTATACCCCCAAAAAACCCGCCTACAAATTTATGAAAGCAAGTTCAAGAACCATAGGTTTGGCACCAAATATGCCACCAGGTGTAGAATTTAACAATATGCAAAAACTGAAGATCAATTCATCTGATGTACAATCTAATGTTTTTTTAAAAAACAGCCAATATAATCCTACGTACCTTCATCAGGTAACAATCAAGAATATAAACAAAAGCACATGTACAAACCAGTTCACTTGTTTCCAAGCTAATGCAACAAGCCTGAGTGTCCTGCAACACTCCATGGGGAGGGGGGGGGACCTTGAGAAGTAAGGTATTCAAACTAGATTCCCAACTGCAGACATCTAATGATAAAATAGGAACACAGCAGAAACCTGTTGCCCGCACAGTAACTGAAATGGTTTCTAGAGCTTCTGAACTAGATAATTCACATCAGGTCTTCCATCTGCTTTATGATAAGATCTCCAAAAGAGTGCTGCATCTCCTGCAATAAACCTGACATTAAGATTAAGAGTGTTTTCAAGCAAATATATACTTCAGACCAATGGAATCTCTCTTAAAACTGCCCATATAAAATCAAATTCATTTATATCACAATTTGAATTTAATAAATAATTTTATTTAAATTGTTTTAAAAATCCAATTTTTGAAATTTAAATGAGTCAAATCAAATCCACCCTGTCACATCCAAAATAAAAGGAACTCTGAGAACCATGCAGGATAGCATTAAGCTTATTATGACTTAATAAGTTTAAATTATGCATATGCATTAATTCTGCTGTGTGAATTATTTCTTTTTGGTTTATCAAGCAGCCCTGTCTTCCATCTATGCTGTTTTTTATGAGCTGCCCAATTGTGTCTGACTTACAGTGACACAATGAATGAGTGCCCTCCAAAATATCCTATCATTAAGGGCCCTGCTCAGTGTTTGCAAACTCAAGCCTGTTGCTTGCTATATGGAGTCAATCTACCTCATGTTTGGCATTCTTCTTTTTCTGCTGCCTTCAATTTTTCCTAGCATTATGGTCTTGTCCAGCACGTCCTGCCTTCATTTCGAGTCCAAAGTACAAAACCTGTTTTAACATTTTTGCCTATATAGAGTTTAGGCCTCATTTGATCAAGACCAACTGTTTGTCTTTCTGGCAGTCCATAAAGCTCTCCTTGGGCATCATATTTTGGATTTACAGTCAGCCTTCTTTACTGTCCAGCCTTCAAATCCATACACAGTAAGTAGAAATACACTCTTGTTGAAGAATTTGGTCTCCAGTGAAACTTAATTACACATGACAATTTTTTCTAGTTCCTTTATAGCTGTCCGCTCAAGTCTGTCTTCTTCTGATTTCTTGGCTGCAATGTTTTTTATTTGATGACTGAATCAAACTATAAAAAAATCGCAGTTTTCTCACCACCAACATTAACATTATATAGTGTTTCTGTAGTCATAATTTTTATGTTTTCAATACTCAATTGCAGCCCTGATTTTCAACTTTCTTCTTTTCTACTTTTATCAGGTGCTATTTCAAGCCATTCCCAGGAAGATGGTGTCGTTTGCATATCTTAAATTACTGATGTTTCTTCCACCAATTTTAATACCTACTTCATCTAAATACTTCATCTAAATCTACTCTGGCTTTCTGTATGATATGTCCATTACATGGATTGAACAGACAGGAAACTGAAATACACCCTCTGCCAATGAGAAACCATTCTGTTTCTCCATATACAATTCTACCAGTAGCTTCACGTCCACAATATAAGTTACTCATCAGGCCAATCAAATACTGAGGCACACCCACAGCTTCTCACCATCCACAAAATCAAAGGTATTGCTGCAGTCTATAACCAACAGATCATCTAGTGAAATGCTTCGGTGTGCTCAGGTAGCCAGCAAATACAGTGCCTCTTCATTTTTAGAATCCAGCCTGAACATAGGGCCCTCATCACTTCATATAGAGTAAAAGACTCTGAGCATCATTTTGCTTGCATGAAAGATTAATGAAATGGTTCTATGGTTATTGTACTCTTTGGTGTCTCCTTTCTTGCACAGCAGAATGTGTACTGAATATTTCAAATCTGGTCACCATTGTTTTGTTTTCCATATCTGTTTGCATATTCTTAGGATTTTGACAGATTCAGTCTCTTTGGCTTAAAAGAGTTCTATCGGTATCCTATCTACCCCAAGCAATTTATTTCTTCATAGTGATTTCAGAATAGCTTTCACTTCACTTTTTAGAACTGCAGACTCTTCATCACATGATTATTATGCAAAATATTCTGCCACCCTTGCATTTCTTCTGTTCAGTATACTGTTTCTACTTCTCTTTATTTTAACTTGGTGAGAGAGTATAATTCCCCTGTTCATCTTTCAGTATGCCTGATCTAGGTTTAAACTTCCATTTTATTTATTGGACTTCCTGGAAAACAGCACTTTTTTCCTTTTGCTTTTCTCTATCTATTTCAACTGATTATTGCAATAGTTCTCTTTGTTTCTATGTGATAATAGCTGAAAAGTTGTATTCAGAATTCTTTTGGAGATACTCAGTCAGAAATACTACCTGCTGGCTGGCTTCCCACACTAAGCTTTGGAAACAATATAAAATGCAATCATCCTGCATTGTTATGGTACAGCACCCACCCAGCCTCACTTCTTTGCATCGTTATCAACTGTGCAGTTTTGGAAGGCTGAAACCTAATGAAGGAGTGTCTTAAAAAGCTATAGGAACAACTCTACAGAGATACACATCATGCTTTCATCAGAGATCTATCCACTACTGCAGAAATAATTTTCACACACTTTAAGGAAACTATGATGTACTCCAGATATACAACTAAGCTGTTCTTCTTGCATACATCTGTATACTCTAAAGCTATGCAGATTATTATGGTGAGGTTCATTTGGGTTTTTTTGGGGGTAGACTATAACTTCTCACCATGTCACTTGGGGAATTCCAGGAGGTGTATTCCAAATCACAGGCTTGCACAGCTCTGCTACCCTTTGAGCTTCATAAGTTTTGGGCCATTGTTATTAATGTCATTCCTAACAGTAAGATGACTATAAAATCCTCTTGACCTGAATAATACTGCACATAGTTAGCAAAGCAGCCACTCATCCATCAAAACCTGACACAACAAATATTCAAGTTTAATCACTATACACTTCAGTGTGAAACAATATTAAATAGAACCTTAATTTTTTTTTAATTGTCATGATTTAAGGACTTCCTTCTCCAAGAATAAGTCTGATGTAGTTACTCAAATCACAAACTTTGACCAATGAGATTGAAATCAAATCCTGCCACAGCTGTGAAGTTCTTCAAATAACCATGGGCCGGCCAGCCACTCAACAAGATCTACACTTCATGTGGCTGTATGGACACTAACAGCTGGATCAATATCAGCTCCTAGGAG